ATATAAAATTAAAACCAAGTTTTATTCCTGAGAAAAAATAATACAGCACAGTACTCCAAAAATATCGCATCGACTCCATCATATGAAGTTTTTTGTTGCAGAAAATGGCTGCGAAAATGTGTTGTGGTCCAAGATTCAAAGGTAATGTTGGCCTTTTTGCGTCCGACCAACAGTATATACCGAATGAAATTTGTCTAGAGCCATTTTCAGTACAAGGAAAAAAAATACTCCTGTAGAAATTCCGGTTTTCATTAGATATGATCCAAATGATGACGAAAAAATTGGTTCACTGAAGCAGGAGCAAACTCAACGGACTCCTACTTCTTGAGGACAAAAAAGTGCGTCATTCGAATGCACAAATTTTCCAATTTCGACGAACAAAAACAGAGGGCGTCTCGTGTTTCAAGCCGATTTCTTTGACTTACCCGTGGCATTTTTCTTAAGGTAACCGAAGTAAAACTTCCCCTGGAAATTAGGTACCTTAGATAGAAACTCAAAGTTGGACAAGTTTACGCATGATTCAATTATCCAAAATTGATAAACTTTTCTTACCGCAACAAAGGACAAAATTCAAAATGATTTTACTGTACTGTACTATTAATTTAGGCTAAAGAATAGGATATCAACTATGGAATGAGTAACATCAAAGGTTTCACGTAAGTTTTTCCTGCATCTACGAAGAGCATTTCAGCGTCATGAAGCACGAAATTACAAGTATGATCATTAAATCATCCGATCTCGAGGAGTACATACAGTACAGTATCTTGAAAGAAAGTAAAGGTATGTTCAAAATTATTACAAACAAAAGCAAAGACGGAACAATCTAAAAACCGGGTAACGGCGAACAACTTTCGAATAAAGGTAACGTACCATACCATAAAAAAAAATTCAAACGCATTTTACCCAACCCAAGTCGGGAATTAAAAAAAAAAGCAAATCGAATAATCCTGTAGTCAGAGAATCGAGGTGTTCAACAAAAAGAAGTTTCTCTCCCTATTCAAGCAGTACAAAGAAAAACAGGATTTTTTGGAACGTGGTACCAAAAATGTCATTAGATTTAATGTTCAGAAATTTTAAATTACCGTACGCTAAAAAAAATAAAACAATGCGTGTGGGATGAAAGCAATGATCAGGAGACAATAAATTCGGTGCCTATGATATTGAGAGGAGTGTTACTGTATCATCTTACAAAGCCTCCAAGATGAGTCTTTTATCCCTGCGATTGCTCAAATTTCAGCGAAACACAACCCCAGAGGTTCAAGTTTAGAAAAGAAAAAAGACGAGGTTCTCTCGAAACATACGA